CCTAGCCTCTTGTCTAGAAGTACTTTTTATTATTATTTTATGCTATTTCTGTGTGTAAGTGCTTGCCCTGCCACAGCTACTGATGTTACATAAAAGCAAAGAGTGTATTCTACAGGGACATCAAAAATGTGAAGGAGGCTGTTGGACACAAACCATTGGAACTTTGGGGTATTTTTAACCTTGGAAAGTGTTTACCTTTACTGACCCTTAAGCTGATTCTTTAACATTTACATTGTGCCTTTAATCAAAGTTTAGGAAGGTTTTGTATATAACCATTTAACAAAAACATTGTGGTAAACAAGTTTAGGGAATATGGATATAAAAAAGACTTTTCCCCTTTTTTAATATAATTTTCCTCAAGATAATAACATGCAATTGTTTTCTATCATTTTCCCAGATTCAGTTAGGCCATATATGCCTTATGGAAAAACTGGGGAGTTTTTCTTATTCTCTCACATTTCTCCTCTTAAGAAAAAAAGATATTATTTGTATAATGTAGTCATCATTTAGAGAACACATAAATCTTAGCACTGTTACTCCATTCATATGTTTTGGTTTTTTTTCCAAACTGTCATGCCAAATTAATCCCTGGTGCAATATTGTGTCACCAGTGAAGCTGTGCCACTTGCTTGGACTCTTTAGTTTTAATTGAAAGATTTATCATTCCAGAGTTTCTCTGTCTTCTGTACTTAGTACATAGATCCTTGGAAACCCTGAATGCTTTGCCATTACTGTCTCTTTTCTTTATATAGTGTGTCTTTTTCTTGTTTTTTAGTCATGGTTTCTTTTAACAGAACGTGTGGAAAGTTTTCTCATATAACCATTAAGCAAAATAAAAAACCCACTGTGATTTGTACTTGACTCATATAGGTACAGTTATGCAACTTTATTTAGCTTGTTGCATTTATTGCACTTAATTAAATAATTTGTTATTGATAATGTGTAATTGGGCAAGTTGTATTATGATTAAATGCAATAGCTTGTTCTTCCTCAGATATTTAATTGCTAAAACCAAGAATGCCAAGGGGTTTGGATAAATGATGAACAGAGTTGGGTGTTTTAATTGCAAAGATCCAGGATTGATGAATATTTTAAATACTTCTGTAATACTGTACACAGAATATCCACAAGAGGGAACTGTTTTACATAAAGAGGAGTCATTTCCTTGCTGCTAAAAAACTGCTTTCTGGAACCAAATCCTCCAGAATTACGTTGAGTAGACATGATTGTGTCCTGGACTATGCTACATGGTAAGAACAGGAAAAACACAGGTCAGCACAGTGTTTGTCATGATCTGAAAATAGTATTGTTAACCAAGTAAATTTTGAGCTCTTGTGTTGAAATATTAAATAGACAACTAATCTGAAGAGTAATCCATTGAAGCTTTCTATTTGTTTGGAAGAGATCTCTCCAGGATGCAGAACTTGAAAACCTTGTTTAGTCTGAAGGCAACATGAAATGGAGTTGTTGCCTCAGTAAATGAAGCATACAGCCCCAGGGGGATTTCTCAAACTCTGTTTTATAGAGTCTGCACTGGAAAGCAGCCCTTTCTTTATTCATAAAGGAGTAAGCTCAAACGGGACTTAAGGGAAGGGATATTCCTTCAAGGATCATTTTTACCTCTGTCTATGAATAGGTGAACAAAGTACAAAGTTACCTACTTCGCTTTGTCTTTTGCAGATACTTCCTAGTAAGGAAACTTTCAACTGGTAAGGTAAGTCTCACCAATTGATATCAATATTTACTTTTCAGTGTGAGTTTCATGGTAAATATTTGTAGAACTGGGCCATATTTATGTAAATAGAAGTTTATACAGATAAAGCAAAAGGTTTTCCCCTGGATATATAGTGTGAAATTTATAAACTAGGACTCCTATTGTATGTGTTGATTGGTTCATGAACAGTTTTTGAGCATCAGAACTAAAAAGCAGCCTTTTACAAATGATCACAATAAATCTATCCATGTCCAAATCTGCGTTTAAACTGTGTGAACATGTTTGAACCAAATTATTTGAACATACGGACTATATTTTGTGGTGCACTTGCTTTTCTTTAGGAGCATCTTTGGTATGTGTGGGTACAGTATTACGGGGATGATATTTTAGAAGTGCCTAACGATTCTGTTCGCATCTGGAGCGCCCTTGAAACCAGTGTCTGCACTGCTCAGCTGCAGCAGCATTGAGTATATGAGTCAGATAAATGCTTTTTAACTTGTACCTTCTGAATGTGTAAAGCAAGAAAATGTATTTTCAGACTGCAGCCTCTCTGTCAAATCTTCTGGGCCCTCAAACAACAGCGAGAGAGGATGCACGTCACAGCCATGGCTTCAGAGACTCAGTACTTGTTATCTGCCAGACCAGAATACGGAAGAAATCCCACCATGCAAAAGCCTTTCCTGGGATGTGTTGTGCAGCTGCTCTTCATTGTCCTCGACCTTCGAAGTGCACAGGGCTTGTAGTTTCTATTAGCTGTAAGAGTGTCTGTAAGTACATGGCACTTCTGAAGATCAGACATCAAGTGCCTGTGGTACGATGCTCCTGCCCTTGTTCCACTCCTGGTGTTTGCTGATGGATAAAAGGATCCCTAGGTATCTGTGGGGCTGTGAAAAGGTTGTTCCTCCAACACCACCCCAGGAATGCAGAGCAAATGGCCATGAGGACCAGGTTCTGAGTCTAGGACCCAAGGCTGTGCGATCCTGTCATGGCAACACTTTGCAGTCCAGGTGGCTTTCTAGCTGTGGGGAGGGTTGGTAATGAAAAGACATGGGAGAGGGCAGCAGCTGTGACAGTGCAGTCTGGGCTTGCATGTGGCAGCTGTGACATGCAGTTTCTTTTCAATCTGACTAGTTTTCTGCATATAGAAATCCTCAACTAAATTCCATTACAAGTCTCCTGGGAGTGGCCTACTTCAGGTCTGCTATGTAACTGACTGTTTTTCTCTGGGAAAAAGTAATTTAGGATTTTTCTTACCTATATACACTTCCACGACATTATCTAATGCCTTCTCTATTCAGAAGCCCCTATTAAACCCTTCTTGAAAAAGGAAGCTTTCTCTTGAAGGAGCAGACTGGAGGAGCAGGTTGGAAAGAGACATAACGATAAACTCACAGAGTCAGACAAACAGTGGTGTTACTGCATGAAAAAAGGGTGAGAGGGTTAGAGAGCCCCATAAAAGGCTTTGGGAACTCATAAAATCTCATTACCTTAAGTAGAAAACAAAAACAAACAAGCCCCTGGCAGATGCAGAAACAGAAACCACGACTAGTAAAGGTTAAGAGATTACTATTTCATAATGGTGGTTCTCTGCCGGTATAGCAACTAGATAAGATGGGGGAATGTCACGCTCACAAAGGCTGCTGTATTTTACCCTTGGAAAGATGTCAAGAGGATCTGCATAATACTTTGTACAGACAACCCAGTGAGCAGACCATGTGCCAAACAGAGATTTTGATTTATATATAAATGAATAGACATATAAATTTCTCTGCTTTTCAAAGTGAATCGGAAAAAAAAGTAGGAGGTGACTATCCAGATTTTCTTGCTGGCTTCCCCTTTCACCCCCATCCTCCCCAAGTGTGTAATTTTAAATCGTTATTCATATTCCTAGGGATGAAATTCAGGAATGTTCTCGGGATGTGCGGCAATTTACGGCGTGTTTGCGGAGCGTTTGCAGTACTTCCCCGTGTCAATTAAAGACAAGCCACGAACGCCTTCAGCGGAAAAACCCACGCCACGGTCCCCGATGTTTATTTCACGCTCCCTTAGCGCGTTTCCATGCCAGCTGCCCCCCTCCCGCGCCGTGCGCATCCCCGGGCACCTGCTGCTGCAGCTCAACCGCCTCCTGCGAGCCCCGAGCGCGCCCCGCTCCCTCCTCCCCCGCTGCCCCCGCTGCAGCCCCGGGCCCGCCGCCCCCGAGGGCGCCCTTGCGGCCGCGCCGCGGAGGGGTCGCGCCGGCCGCGGTGCCGCGCTGCGCTGCGGGCGAGGGGCGCGGGCGATGGGCGCGGGGGCCCGGCGGGGCTGCGGGGGCCGGGGCCGTGACTGCGCCGTGCGTTGGCCGCTGCGTCATGACATCCTCCGAACCGGCCCCGCGCACGGCCGGCGCGGGGGGGCCGCTGCCGCCTGCCCCCGCCCCACCGCGGCTGCGGAGAGCGCGGCGCGGCGGCGATGGACGCGCCAGGGCCGGCGGGACTTGTTGGACCGGCAGCTCCCCGGCGCGGCCGGGCACCGCCTCGCCGCCACCTGTGAAGCGCCTTCCTCGGCACACAGCCCCCGCTCCCGCCTCGCCGTCCTCCGGAGCGGGCGCTCGGCGCTTCGAGCTCGGGACCGAGCGGCCGCGGGGCGGGGAGCGCTGCCCATGGGGCGCCGGGAGCCCGCCTGAGCCGGCGCCCCCACCCCCGGCGGCAGCGGCAGCGCGGCACCCCCTGCCCGCCCGGCACCCCCGGCCCGCGGGGCCTTTGATGCGCCCCCGGAGCGGCCGCGGCTGCGGGCGCGGGGCCGTCGCGTCCCCCCGCGGCACAGAGGGAGGGGCGGGAGCCGGCGGCGCCGCTGCGCGTGTGGGAGCAACAGCCTGAGCGACAGCCGGGCCCTGGAGGGAGCTCCTGAAGGATGGGCGAGGAGGCGGCGGCAGCGGCAGCGCACGCACAGATGGGCCAGCGGAGGATGAATTAGGAGCCACAGGAGGCTGCTGCCGGCACCGAGGGGGGAAGAAGAGAGGAAGGGGCTGGACTTGGAAGAGGAGGAGGAGGAGGAGGGTGCGCGGGCTGGGGGGGTGACTGAGTATCTCTAATAACAAGTTAAAGACTAATAACAATAATAACAGACCACCTCCGGGAGGATCCGCGGCGGAGGCTGAGTGAGGGATCCCCGCTGAGGCCAGCGGGGTCGCAGCGCTGGGTATCTTGGAGAGACGCTCAGAGGCATCAGTTTGTGGTGGTGGTGGATGATTTTTTTTGGGGTGGGCGGGGTAGGGGCTGTGTATGCGGGAGAAGGAAGGGGTGGGAATCTGAGGAGGAGACTATATTTTTATTATTTTTAATTTTTTTTTTTTAAATATTATCTTCGCCGTACAAAGAGGACGCTCGGAATTCACCGGCCTGTCGGCTCCCGAGAGGGACCCGGGAATTGTGCGGTCGCTTTTCTTCACCTGCTTTTTTTTTTTTTTTTTTGGTTGGTTGGTTTTTTTTTTTTTTGTTTGTTTTGACTGGGGGCTTTTTATTTTTATTACTCTCCTTATCCTTCCCCGCTGAGCAGCGGCGGCGGCAGCAGCAATATGGCTGGTGATGGGCTTTCTGGGGGGCGCTGGCGGCGGGAGGAGCTCTCGGAAGCCCCTGCGCGCCCGGCTCGCTGTTAGCTATGGCAAATGGCAGCGGCGGCGGCTCCTACCCGGGCGGCAGCGGCAGCGGCATTAGAATGAGTAACAATATCAACGCCAACAATCTCAACACAGACTCGTCCTCCTCCCCCGTCAATGTGCCCAAGATGGATGCGCTCATCATCCCGGTGACCATGGAGGTGCCCTGCGATAGCCGCGGACAGCGCATGTGGTGGGCTTTCCTCGCCTCATCCATGGTTACTTTCTTTGGGGGACTGTTTATCATCCTGCTGTGGAGGACCCTCAAGTACCTGTGGACTGTCTGCTGCCACTGCGGGGTCAAAAACAAGGTAACTCTCCCTTCCCTTCCCCTCCTGCTGCCGGTGATGGTTTGGTGCGGTGGTGGTGAGGAGTAGGAGCCCAGCCTTGTAGACCAGGACACCTGGGCGAGTGGCGGTAGGGCTGCCGATGGCGGTGCGCTGGCTGCTCTCGGCTTAGGGCTGACACGGGCTCTTGGGAGCTGCAGCGTGGGCACCGGAGCTGGAGGGGAGAGGTGGTGGGTGCAGTCCCGAGGCGCTTCCCCGTTCCCCCTCCCACGCAGGCACTCTCGTTTTCGTCTGGTGGCATGGAAGTTTCACCTGGTGTGCGACTCTCTGTGTCCCCGTCAGAGAGGCACATGGTGGTGTGGTGGGACAGTGCGGATCAGAAGTTTATATTGCACCCTTGGGACCGCATATGATGGGGTGGGCGCTTGAGTATGCTGATCTAAACTCTCAGTTGCCTCGTGGGATAAGAAACCGGCAAAATCGGAAGGGTAGATTTCTCACTCAAGTGTATCTTTATAAAGCTAGTTCCACTCCCTGAGAATCTCTGACATTTCTGTTTGTTAAATTAATGTAGCTATCTAGAAGTATTCTGTACATTTGTAAGTGTTCTCTTCACCTAAGTGTCAAGTCTTTGAGGCAGCCTCTCTGCCCCTTTGATTTTAGCATATTACCAGCTGGAAGAAAGCATAGTACGTGAAGTAAGTTCAGTTTCTGCTTTAAAGGGTCTATTTTCAAACCAAAGCTAAGAACTTGCTCAAGTCCAGACTTTAATTTCTGATTATGAAAAATGAGATAGAAAGTGTTACAACTCTGTATTGTGAAAGTGGATTTTGACAGACCCCAAAATAGATCAGCACCTAGAGTTTCTCCCCTTCCCTTTTCACATTTTTTGAATTACAAATGGAATAATATCTGCTTCAGTTATTCCTGGCACACAGACACCCACAAAAACACACACACCTTTTAATATATGGTTGCTAGGTTGCTGGTTTGCTTTGACGTACAGTGAGCTGTCTTCCCTTTTCTCCTGTCACCTCCCCCCTAAACACACAGCACATACACACCAGCTGTATGGAGGGCCCAGCACCTAGGGGAAACCAGGAACAAAGTTAGGGCATGGAAAGTTATGGTACTTGTTTGTTGCATAGTTTGGGTCGCCTAAATGAACCTCCACATTCCAGCTGGAAGTTAAACTATTCCAGTGAGCTTGGCCTGTCTGTGGAAGGAGTGATTGCTAAAGTTAAGGAATAAAAGCTTTTAAGTTAGCACTGAGCATCAGGAATCCTGTCAGGCAGCACTGCTTTTCTGTAGGCTTTTTTTTTTTTCATTCAAAGCCAAACCTGAACTTTCTTAAAGAGGTGTTAGCCAGGTATGATGACACAGCTCTAATGAATTTGTGATAATAAGGTACTATTTCCTACAGCAGTAAAAAGCAATTTTCAAGGAAGGGTGAGTAGCGAAGACTCAACCTTTGGTTTTGCTGTGTATTTAGCATTTCTGCCTCCACAGAGCAAGACGAATCTACAAAGGCTATCAGAGATCTTGACGAAAAAGAAAAATCTGCGTGCTATTACCTCATGCTTCTTCCCTTGAGAGAGTAACAAGTTAGAGACTTGTACACAGACTTCTTATGCGTGGTTTCTTGGTGGGTACTGTTGGTCAGGTAGTCCATTATTGGGACACTCTCAGTTAAAGCAGATCAGTAATTTCTTAACCAGTATAGGAAGATTTGTGCGAATTGTCTTTAAAACCTCTTGGGCTAAATGTGGCAATTTAGTAACAGGCTTAGTTGAGGGCTTCAATCACTTCCAGTCCGAATAGTTTGATGTATTATGGCTATGGCAGGTTGTAAGATTTCAGTTTGTTTCATCTTTGAGACTGAAGTAGTTCCATGAATGTCATTCCCTGGGGCAAGAGGATAAAGGGCTCTGCAGGTAGGGGGAGATAGATGTCTCCTTTTAGGAAACAAAAGATTTGTTAGGAAACAAATCTCCTATTTGTTTCACTTGTAAGGATTTTCAAGACTCTCGGAAAGAACTTTCAAGGGCTCATCCTGCATTCCTTATACGATAAATTGGGGAATTGGAGGGAATTATCTGTATGCAAGGATGTTAGTTATAACTAGTTATTGCAAAACACTTTTCGAGTATTTAGGGCATAAAGGCTAACTGAAGTAACAACTGGGATTATCTGAAATTTTGCTGTTATCAAGCACATACTTTGCTGCTTGGTGAGTTGGAAAAAGCTGCTGAGGCTGCTGGTGAGAAATGTGAATGCATATATATTCTATGTTGACTCTATTGGGCCTGCTACAGCAGGAATTTTAGAAGGAGTAGCTCCTCCTACTGCAGGGTTGAAGAAGTTTTCTGCATGTTAGGAGCTTTCTTTTCCTGTGCTGACTCTTCTGCTGCTCCACAGGTTGCGGGGGAGTTGGGCTATCCAGCATCATCTCACTGTCTACATAAAGAGCAGTCCCAGTGAGAGAGCTAAAAGAAATCTTCCTCATGTCTACTTTCTGTGGCCTGTTATTAAATAATTCACATGTATATGTGAATAATTCAGAGTTACTGTGCTAACACTCGTGTTTGTATCTGTAATTGCAAAGAATTGCAAAAAGTTTCATTTTTTTTTCTCCCTGCTATATTCTAGGCATGACATTGTATTCTATGGATTTGTCGATGATTGTGAACTTTGGGATGTAAAATTTTTTAATGACTGCATAGAAGGATTTAAGAGTGTGGTTTGTTTGGAGTGTCCCCCTCTGCAACTCATTCAATTTAAAGCTGGAGTTTAAAACCACGATATAAAGAGTTTAACACTTTGTGGTATGAAATTTCATTAATTTTTTTTCCTTTGGAGATAAGAAAGTCAAGATACTGTAAGACAAGAATATGAAAACAGCTAACAGAATCATCAACATTATCCCTTAAAATTTCATATCTAATTAATGTAATTGTATATAAGTAGAACATCACTCTTAACCATGTACTAAAAATGATTGTTGAAATTTTAGGGTTTTCATGCTCCGTACTTGCTTCATGAGTCGGAATTAAAAAAAAAACAAAACTGCCCAAAAAAATGTAAATCTTTACCTTTGTTGTCAGTGTTTCATGTAGTGTGACAGTCATTAATATCAGAGCCCTTGTATTCCTTTATTTAATATGGTAAATAATTTTAGATGCATTTTTTTTCAAAATTAGCTACAGTCTATCTGCAGCCAGCCTTAAAAAATGCTGGTTTTCTTCTCAGTGTTTACATATACACTTTTAGTGGTGCTTAGATACAGCTAAATAACTTGTCTGGTCATTGCTTGTTCTTTCTCACTTGACCAACCGATTTCTGTTTGTGTATGAAAAGTAGAATGTGAGATTAAACTTCATTGGGTTGGACTCTGGCATTAGTTGTTCTTGTTTATAGTAGCAGCAGAAAAATAAAATAAATATACATGGTGATGTACACATCGTGGCTAAATGCACATTAGACAGTCTATAGTTCTTTGATTATATGGATCTGCCTCTGCATTTTCTATGCTCCTGGAGGGCATTTTCTGCTGTCATTATCTGGTATCATATTTTGGCTTTGAACAAACTCCAAAACCATAAAGAAGGAGCAGTGGAATGAGAGAGCAAAGGTTTGGAGAACAGTCAGTTCCTGGAGCTGGTCAGTGCAGAATCAAATGGAATTTGTTTCATTTTGAAGAATACGATACGAGACCCTTTATTGCTGTTCCTTGGTTCCCCAATGAAGGGCACCACTTACAAACCTTATGTCATTGGGCTCCAGCAGGTAGAGTACATCCTTGTTGTGATGCTTTCAGTGTTTTGGAAGAGCTTTTCCTCCCTGCAACTCAGGACTTGTATATGTATAAAATGAAATTATGATTATAGGTAGCAGTTGTTAGCCTGCAATTACAAGCCCTAATAGTCTTTTTTTGACCTTGGTCTACGTATTTTTGAAATGTAGTAAGTTACACAGTGCTAGATTTGGTCAGTAGAAACCAAGCAACATCCCCATTTGTTTTGAATAGAAAAAAACCTGGTTTTGCTGGAAATACAATATTTGCAGAAGTCGTCTTTGAAAAGTTAAGAATTTCAACGCAGAATTCTAAAGCCTGAGAAAATTTGTAAGCAGAAGAATTTAAGTTGTCCATAAAACAAGTGGCATTCATTCCAAGCTGGCTCTTGTGTGGGCGAGGTTTGTTGGTTTCTGAGCAATACCTGCATAAATGTCCTCTCCAAATAAAGAAAGAAATTTGAAGGAGGATCTGTTGAGAAAAGTTCGGGTGTGCATTGGAAGACACGTGTGGACACATAAAGCAGGAGATCCCTTCATTCCAGTCTGTACGTGGGATCGTCACCTTGGCTCTCCTGAAGATGCACTGGGCAGCAGCATCTGATGAACAACTGGGAGGCTCAAGGGATTAGCGGGAACTGTAATGCATTTTGCTGCTCAGTCACATGCACAGCCTGGCTCAGTCATTCCTGTCTCATGGCTGTCAGGTGGTCTGCGTGCAATTATTCCGTGAGAGCCTCACCAGACAGGTTGCCAGTTGAGAGGTGCCCATGGTGGCAGGTCAAGGTCTGAAAGAAAAGGTACTTGCAGCCCTTTGCAGGTGGTGTTTCTACAAGCAGAGAAAGGCACTGGCTGTGGAGAGGTGTATGCTGCTGTTTTTCATGATCTGAAAAGAAAGATACTTCTGGCTCTCTGGAGCTTATAAAGGATTTCGCATTTCATGAGCACATGCTGAAATAGGTTATGCATGCAGAAAAGAGAATGCATAGACAATGATCTAACTTGTAAACCAAACATTCTCAACCAAAAGGTTATTTTGGTACAGTATCATACTTATTTTCAAGGCTTTGCAACGTATACATTTAAGGAGAACATCTGCATTCAGAAGAATCGAAAATCTTACATTTGCAAATCTCTAAATGCTGGTTGTAAACCATTAGATTTCACCTTTTTTCCAGTTTAGCTCAGTAGAAGAAGTGCCTGTAATAGCAGACAAAAAGCTTTTAAGTAAC